TGCAGATGGTGACAGCAGCCCCAAAATTAAAAGATGCCTGCTTCTTGGGAAGAAAGCGATGACAAACCTTGACAGCATCTTAAAAAGCAGAGACATCACCTTGCCAACAAAAGTCAGAATAGTCAAAGCTATGGTTTTCCCTGTAGTGATGTATGGAAGTGAGAGCTGGAGATATGGAGGCAGTGGCTGATTTCACTTTCTTAGGCTCCATGATGACTGCAGATGGTGACAGCAGCCCCGAAATTAAAAGACGCCTGCTTCTTGGGAGGAAAGCGATGACAAACCTCAACAGCATCGTAAAAAGCAGAGACATCACATTGCCAACAAAGGTCCGTGTAGTCCAAGCTATGGTTTTTCCAACAGTGATGTATGGCCGTGAGAGCTGGACCATAAAGATGGCTGACCACCGAAAAATTGATGCTTTTGAATTGTGGTGCTGGAGGAGACTCTTGAGAGTCCCCTGGACTGCAGGGAGAACAAACCTATCCATTTTGAAAGAAATCAACCCTAAGTGCTCACTGGAAGGACAGATCCTGAAGCTGACGCTCCAATACTTTAGCCACCTCATGAGAAAACTCCCTGGCAAAGACCATGATGTTGGGAAAATGTGAAGGCAAGAGGAGAAGGGGACGACAGAGGACGAGATGGTTGGACAGTGTCACTGAAGCAACCAACATGAATTTAACCCAACTCTGGGAGGCAGTGGAAGACAGGAGGGCCTGGTGTGCTCTGGTTCATGGGGCTATGGAGAGTCAGACACGACTTAACGACTAAACAACAACAAACCATTGGTAGGTTATGCACGACTTTTAGACTTTTGTTTCTGAAGAATCAAGTTGTTCTGCTCTCAAGAAGGAATTAATGCTACAGAAGCAGAGGTTTTTCTGTGAAAAATAAAACAATCCTCTTGCTCTACACAAGAAGCTGATATTCCCAGAAGTCAAACTGATTGCCTAAATACAGCATTCTGCAATGTTTTCTAGTTCCTTACTGAATTTTCATAGCTGTGGTTGCATCATGTTGGGTGTGCTAATTAAGGTGGTCGTAATTCTTTTTTTTTGTCAGGAGGGCAGTTTTTTTATATTGGTTCGTGTAACTGGATCTTCCCTCTGTTATTTCAGGTGATGGGTCTTCTTCGTGTCCCCCTCTATATTCTGCGTGACGGTGTCGGGGGCCTTCCTGCTTTCCTTAGCAACACTTTCATTAGCAGTGCCCGGGACCAGCTCATTCAGGCCCTAGATGTCTTCCAGCTTGTGCCAAAAGAGACACTCCAGAAGGCTGTGAACGTGGCTCAAAAGACCTCTTGAGCTTTGGACTGAAGCTTTCCTCACTGATGATTCTGTGATGGACCCCAAGAACTGAAGTCCTCTAAGCGGAGCAGCTGTGGAAAGAAATGCGAGAGTGTGAGAAGAATGTTGAGAATGGCCCACTCTATGCCCCATTGAATAGTTGAGTGCTCTGCAGTTGAGTCGGGCAGACATCTAGGTTTAAACATCTACTGAGTGTGCATTATTGATGGTGTCTTCCTGGTGTTAATTTGGGTGGGGAAGGGTTAAAACAAGTAAAGCCAGGTGGTCTTAATTCTTGGCTTTGGAGAGAGAGTGAGTGTGATGCAGCCCACTATCCCCATGTTTACAGACACATAAGGACTTCCTGACTGTACACATTATACACACAGATCAGTCTGTGGTTTAGATTTTTTTTTCCAGCCCATGTCTCAAAAAACACAGTGTCTTTGAATTTCCAGTTTTCCAGTATCATGGAAGTGGGATTCACCTTCATCGCACAAGCCCTTTGAATATATCCCTCTTGGCTTATCATAGCTTTATTATTTCAAAGCTGGAATCTGCCCCTTCTAATCTTTTACCACTGCCTGAAAAACAGTTTAACACACTTCCCCCTCCATGGCTCTTGGCTCATATAATCTTTTTTATTAGCTTGTAAAGAAATAGCAAATGGCCACCAGAGATGGTCATTGTCCCTCCCTCTGTTTTTTTTTCCCCCTCCTGTTTCTCATGATGTAATGACATAGGTGTAGAAATTGTTAAAGACCAGGAATGTGCCCAAAGCACATCAATAAATTATTGCAGCAGCAATTTCTGTGTAAACAGATCTAGGAAGTACAGTATTCTTTACTTCAAACTAGTTATGTGCGCCTCTTTGTCCTGTGATAACTTTTGGTTACAATTGGGCTGGGATGGCCATTTTGGAATAAATAAAGGTAGCAGAGATGAGGGGTATGAGTAAAGGTGATGTATCTTAGTACTATCCATGCCAGCATGGATTTATGGAGGAAATTCACTTTTGTCCATTTATAAATAGCAAGTTTCTAGTCCTTGTGCCATTGGAAATGGTGTAGAAAAACAGTCAGCAACTTTTGATTGGAACTCACAATTTAGGAAGAGCAGAAAGGACCAGAAGAATTTGTGTGGCCATGAGCTGGAGAGTTTTTGTCCTCCATGCGTCTGCACTTCTTTCCATGTCAAATGAAAATGGAATACGTTAGACAAAAGTCTAGAATCGCATAAATGGTGTGACCTCCCTCAACAAAATGCTGCACAATTTAGGATGCACTACCAGTGAACCAGGCTATTAAAAGAAATACACATGCAGCACCACTGTGATTGGGTTCCCCTTGTAAAACTAGCAGTTCCCTTTTTGGTACTTGAGTGATGACAGGAGATGATATTCCTTTAACCAAACCTTTAGTATCGGGTGGAGGGAAGGGGTGAATTACAACTTCTGTAGGTCCAACAGGACTATTAAACAATAGTAAACCATTCCACATGGTGTCAGAGTCATTAGTCATCATTGTTTCTTTTAATGCAGCGCCATTCCAAAACTCCCAATTGGTTGGTTTCCGCATAGGGGTGCTCTGCACCACGCAGATTGTCCCACAGCATGGGTGTCTTGCCCAATCCTCCTCGCGCTGGGTCCCTCCAGTGGGCACAGGCTCTGGACGCACCACCTTCTTCCAAGTGCCTTCTTCCCCCTCGTATAGATGTACTCTGTCCATTCTAAAGGATCCAACTCTCGTAATTGTACTTCTTTCCCTGGTCCTAGAATAGACTTCCCACCTTTCTCAAATCCTTTCTCTTCCCTCCTAGGTACAGTCGTGCCCCGCTTAACGATTACCTCGTATAACGATGAATCCGCTTCACAACAATGTTTTTGCGATCGCAAAACGATGTTTTAATGGTTTTTTTTTGCTTTGCGATGATCGGTTCCCTGCTTCGGGAACCAATTCTTCACATTACGACGATCAAAACAGCTGATCGTTGGGTTTTCAAAATGGCCGCCGGCTGCTCAAAATGGCCCCCCGCTGTTTTTAGGAGGCATTTTTTGCTTAACAGGCACCCGAAAATGGTCGCCATATGGAGGATCTTCGCTGAACAATTAGGTATTTTGCCCATTGGAACGCATTAACCATTAACTGGTGTTTAATGCGTTTCAATTGGTTTTTTAATTTCGTTTGATGACATTTTCGCTCTACAGCGATTTTGGTGGAACGAATTAATGTCAATCGAGGCACCACTGTATATCAAAGACGCATGGCTTTGGCTCACTCTTTAGTTCACTCCTTTCTCCTTCTCCCTTTCTTCCTTGCCTCCTCCTCCTCCTCCTCAATTGCTCCTAAACTTGCTAATGAGCCCCAGCTCCTTCCTCCTCCCGCCTTTTCCTCCCACTCTTCTGTTGCTAGAAAACCTTCAGCTATTGGTTGTCCTATTCCTGCCCCTTTCTTCTCTTCTCCTCCAGTAGCTTGAACCTCCTTCGAAGTCATATATTGAATCCCAGCCTGTATAGCACTTGGCTCTTTGTTGATTCCTTCCCCCTGATACGATGGAGGGGACAGCTCACTTTCAGGTTTAATGTCTTTAATCGACTCTTCTTCACAGCCACCTATGCTGTTTTGCTGATTCTGCCTCATTTACATCACCTTGGCAGACTCTTGAGGACTAGAGGAATACGAGTGCAATAGTATCCTAATCCAGGTGGCAGTTTAGCATCTTCCCAGAGCACAGGTTGCTGTCCTCTGAAGATGCTGGCCACAGAGACTGTTGAAACGTTAGGAAGAACAACCGTCAGAACATGGCCAAAGAGCCCGAAAAACCCACAACAACCATTCCCTGGGTTAATTTACCTCTGTTCTCCACTAAAACTCCCATTTGCCAGAATATCATAACCAGTGTAGTGTTTAGAGTGTTGGAATTGGAAGATCTGGGTTCAAGTCTGCGCTGAGTGCTGAAATGCCCCAATTGACCCTGAGCCAGCCACTCTGATCTCGGAGGGTTGCTGTGAGGATAAAGTGGGAAGAAGCAGAGGCTTGGGTGCCTCTAGAGGGAAGGTGAGATGAAAAAAGAAAAGTAAACCAATAAATAACCAAATGGCCCAAATCCTATCAGTTACTGCCTATGACCATTGCGTGGGCAGTGTAAATCTTTGTGGTAAATTACTGCAAGTAAAGTAGCCAGTGTAGGCAATTTGCTGTCGTGCACTGAGTCACAGGCTTCTTAATTTGAGGCGATTCACCTCTGAGATTTATAGCAGGGTAAAGACGCAATAGGATTTGAGCTACTCCATAAAAAGTGATCTGCCAACTCTGCTTTATTTTCATCTTCTCTGCTTCAGAAATGCCACGCAACAGGGCTCTAAAGCAATTCTCAATTTGACACCCAGTCTCTGTTAATCTGTGTCTGTTCTTTACTGAAATTCCCATTAACTGGGATTACAGTTGGTGCCTAAGTGGATAATAAGGGCTGAACATGACAACAGCTTTTGACTCTGGAACCTAGAATCTTAGTGATAAATTTTTCGTGGGTAGAAAATCTAGGAAAGTTTCTGGTGATAGGACTTCCAGGCTGCCTCAGGTATGAACTATGAGGAAAAAGCCTAGTCACTAAACCAGTTTATAGGAGGCAAGCACAGTTGCCCTGGCTACACGCCTCTTGTTCACTGGGTCTCCAAAGGCATAGTAAACATGGCAATATTTGTCTTCTATATACTCCAACGTGTTGCTCATCAGAGGTATGTAATGTCGCGCTTTGCCCTTTCAGACTGCACCACCAACCACCAGTTTGGCTGTGGCAAAGAGCATCTCTGTATGAAGGTGGCACTCCCTTTCCAAGCGTTTCCACCACTGGGGGTAGTCCTAAGCAGCTTTGAACTGATCACATATTTTGAAATTTTAAGTAATGCTTTTCCAGAGCTTACTGTAGAATGGTATTTTGAAACAACTGTAGTGCGAAAACTTTGCCTCAAAACATAAATAAAACCTAGTGCCCCTGCATCTTGAGAAGTACGGCCAGACCAAAATATTTTGTTGCCTGAGGCAAATAGTGTCGTGACCGTGACAAATCAAGGTGCATAATATTCAAAGCCAGTCAAATCTTCTCGGCACACGAAACAGAAAATCCTACAAGTGCTTCTTTCTGTCCTTGAGAGTAGAAATACAGTAACAAATTAAATCACTGATATTTCTCTGCCCTTTCATGTCATTCCATGTTTGCAGCCTCAGGCGGCTGCCTCGCCCTACCTAATGATTGGGCCGGCCTTATTATAAATGAGGAGAAAAACAAGCTCGGTTGTGCCATGCATTGTTGGGGGGCGGGGGAGAGACTGGCCCTCGACTGAGAATCAAGATCAACGGCTTAACAAAATAAGCACAATAAAATAAATAAATAAATAAATAAATTGACTTGTTTAAAAAGAACTCAGTGTGGTTGGCACTTCTGGCAAGGCAGGCTTTCTGAGAAAGAGAAAGAAAAGAGGAGTCCACAGACGAGGTGCCACTGTCATGGGCAGGGCTCTTCTCCCACCCTTTCTGATCCTGCGAAGCTAGAAACCCGAAGAAGGCCTTTTGTGCAGACGCAGAGTTGTATCTATGAAGGATCCCATAACGGAGACTTCAGCACCACCTTGCCAGTACATGTGACCTTTGTGTCTACAGTAGCAGCTCCCCAAGGCTCACACTTGCAGATGCTGTTAACCGGCTTATGCATAGTGGTAGCCTGCTTGGTGGCGATGCTGTTTTGAATTTTTAATGGGTACAGCAAAGAGGAAAGAGGGTAAGGCTGGGCGAAGAAGGAAAAGGCAATAAGCTTGCATTTGCTAGGCTTGAAAGCATGGTGGTCAAGTCACCATGAGACTTCACTGTTGTTCTCCTGTAAGAACTGCTGATTTTTTTCCCCCATGTCACCCACCCGTGGTCTGCTTTAGCACGCCTGTCCCTTTACGGCTCTCATGCAGTGCTCCTTTCTCCTTTTCCCTCCAACAAACTCTTTTGGCTGTACTGTAGTTTGGAAAACCACTCTCTGAATGCTTCTTCTGTGAGTGTTCATATATAAATCAAGCCATATACTGTGTACATATATATATTTATATATTCCTGTGGGTGTGCATGCAAGGGACCATGTCGGCTCTGCTGAGACAGCACAGGGTGTGGAATTTTGAGCAAAGCTGCTTCCTGTGATGGGAAGTCCTCCTTTTGCTGTGGGCCGAGGGGTGCGGAGGCTCTAGTTGCAGCTTGTTTGGTGCTAATTATAGACAGTCCAATGGGTTGTACAGCTTAGGGGTCATATAGGGCCATAGAGAACAAGGTTGGGAATGAGAAGCACTTCACTGGCCAGCTTCTGTTTTTCTTTATCTTCCTCAGTGTGAAGTTGTCCATTTTATAGTTTTTAAAAAATGTCATGTGTTTATTTTAAAATTTGGTATCATGCCCTTTCACTATCCCAGCCCTTGAGACACTTAAAATTTTTTGCTTGAATCTTCTTTGTCACTTGATTCATAGCTCCCTCATTTGGTGATTTAATTAACAGATTAAATTTCCATACATTTCCATGTCGCTGAGACTTAAACAGAGATACTGGAAGACAGTTCCAAGGGCTTTAGCTGTCGTACAATTAGTAATGCCCTATAAAGCCAGGCCGTCTGGTGATTGGCCAGAATCGCTGGCACATAACCAAATAGTAGATGGGTAAGTGAAACGTTGCACGTACAGCTGAAAGCAAAGATTACTTACATTTATGTCATAAAGGACAGTGTAAACAAGAGCACCTGAGTTCGTTCTGGCTGACATTGTTTAGACCTCCATACAGGTGGACTGTGTTTTGCAAATGAGAGGATTACTGGCTATTACATTTATTTTTTAAAAAAATTGTTTTGTCTAGCTTATTAAAATGAATCGGCAGCATTGCTCATTAGAAACGGCTGTGTTTCTCTTCCTCCATCTGTAAAGGACTCGGCATGTTTTGCTGCAGACATATCTGGAATAACTGGTGGAGTTTGTATGAAAAATTAGTCATTGGATTTGCTTCTTGGTGCCAGCATCTTTAGGTGTTATTTGAAACTCAAAAGGCATATTGGACAGACTGATATACAAGTAAGTCTGCAACTTTTGCCACCGTTCCATGTTTAAAATGGTTGTAACACAGCCTTTATGGGGTGAGGACCACGGCCGTCCAGATGGCAAGAAAGGATGGGAGTTGCAGCCCAACAACACCTGGAGGGACACAAGCTGCTGCCTTTGTGGCTTTAACACTAAGCCATTTTCTTGGGGCATAGTCCCACGAGCAAAAAATAACTGCAGTTAAAACAATTTAAGTGATGTTTAAATCTTTTTATAATTTCTCATGCATACGATGTTTGAGTGAAATTCATTTATTTGGGCTCTAAAGCAAATCCCACCCCCCCAGCTGGGCAGGTGGAGCTCTTTAAAATAACTCGCTTGTAAATCGATTTAAATCAGTTCAGTTTGGCAGCTGTGGATTGTGATATCAATTTACT